CAGTGAATGACATTAACCAATGTAGTAGTTTTCACAAAATATATTAAAAACGGTGATAAGGTTGAGTGGCAGGGTGATGTTGATTGTTGTTAGAGTTCATAATTTAGTTACATATTCTAGTATAAAGAAACACTAAAATAATACGTAATAACTTACTACCAAGCTTCCTCTGAGCAGTGAAGTGACTGCTAACTAAGTTTTAAGAGTTCTACTATGTAACATTAATTTACCTTAACTTATAATGAAGCACATCCCATAACAAAAGCCAAATAGTGAAAAACTGGGTGTCCTGTGCACATGTCAACTGTGCTGAAGCTCTCTAATCTTGAAAGTAATTTGCCGTTAGCTACTCAGTCCTGCTTTTAAGGCTAAGAATGAAACCTTAGTATGTGCCTAAAATGAAATAAAAGTTGTTTAATTAGCAGTTACCAAACTGACCAAAGGAAAATACATGTAATTCGTAAATGAAAAATAATTCACTGCTCTACATATGTTTTTCTTGTGTTTCACCAATGATTAGAAGTTTTAATTGAAGAAATAAACATTCACTATTAAGATTTAAATGAGTTTGTTGTCAAATGTTGTTTAAAAGTAATCAGTAACTGGTTTCTCCTCAGAGTCAACCCCAAACATCACAAGAATTGACCAAATGATCAGATATCAAAAGGAAATATGTCTCAGTTTGGTTCTAGAAAGTAATGGTCAGTCAGTAGCTATAAGAAAGGAATGGAGACACAATATGCACAGTACTGTTCCAGCTTTTCCAAGCTTTGTTTACAACTAGGTAATTGTTGACAATATTTTTATATAAATTTTGGACAACTTTTGTGAAAGAGTAATGATAAACATTATGTACTTCACATATCTACGAAAAGAAACCCACTGCTGAAAGGAAGCATGTGCTGTCCACAACATTCAAACGTAATTCAAATGGGACAAACAAGTGCAAGAGTACCAGTAACATTTACTGCTCAATGGATTCAAGTCAGCCAAATGGAATGGGTGCAAAATAAATAAACTATAATTTCATGATTAACTGGTTCATTGATTGAAGTCAGAGGTCTTTGCTGCTGCATGTAAATCTCTAAAGGATATGCACTGTAGATGTACAATGTATGACTTCGGTGATAATAAGCTGCAAAATTTCTCAAGACAATTTTTTTCCAAAAGGCACTTGTTTGAACAATGGTGGCACACACGCCTACATGTAACAATAGTACTACCTTCCCTTAATGCTCATTTCTAAAGTGACAACACCATTGGTTGCATCGGTATGAGGTTTGTGCAGTTTTGGATCTGTGTAACATTTGGCAGATGTGGTACAATGTCTCAAGTTGCACTGTAGTCAGTTGTATAGCCTCAAGTATTAGAGGCAGTCTATTTTTAGTCTGTTGAGTATAGTTGGATGTTAAGTCTACCCTGAAGAACTGACTTCAGGTCTCAGGCGTCCATTTTGTTGTGGTAGTTGGTCATACTCACAATGGTGGTAGCACATTGAAAGCATGTCACTGTCTTTGTCATTTTTCATTGCTTTTCATTGATTTTGTCTTTTGTCAAGTACTGTTAGTTGGCGGGACAGTTATTGTTGATCTCAACCATTGGCAGTCAAACCTGCACTGGTTCTGTTTGAAGTCGACATCTTGGTTTGTTGATTTGTTCAGCTCAAGGTGCAAGGTGAGAAGATATTTTTAAAAAAGAGCTGCACAGAAGTTTGCAATACAATGTAAATAATCTCAGCACAAAGTTTTTTTCCTCTTGTTAGCTGATTCCTTCTTACAGTTTGTTGGTAAAGTTTGCTGGTTGTTTTGTTGAGGTCATTAAGCATGTCAGATGCTGTCAGTTTAAATCCATCTGTTGCTGGTCAAGTTTGTGTTGGTTCTGTTTGAATGAAGTTAAAGTTTGTTGGTTGTTTTGTTGAGGTCATTAAGCGTGTCAGATATACATGTAATCAGTTTCAATCCATCTGCTGCTGGTCAAGTTTGTGTTGGTTCTGTTTGAATGAAGTTAAAGTTTGCTGGTTGTTTTGTTGAGGTTATCCCTCTATACCAAGGCAAGCAGTATGCCAAACATTTATCACAAGAACCTAGACTACAAAGCTAGAATAAAGTAAACACTACCATTATCAGTTGAATAAGGTGCGACGGAACTCTCAACAAGTAACAAAGGTTTGGGCTTAAAATTATGCTGTTGCCATGGGAAACTTTCCTTGTTTTACATGGTAACAATATCATCGCCTGCAATTTCGCGCACTTTGCTGCCAATGACGTCAAAGACTGACAAGTTTCCACTGGAAATGGAGCAAATTGCCTGTAACAACAACACAAGTTGAATGTCACACCTTATTCAACTGATAATTGTAGTAGGCAGCTAACCTGAACAGGGGTTGTGGAACAACAGCTGGGTGAAAAACCTCCCTGTACGTCCACTTGCCCCTAGGAGGAAAACCCCGGGCCAGCTGTACCCCATGCTCAAAGGCCTCCCGGGCTAGGCCGAATAAAAACACACTTAAAATAGACAAACTATATGAATTTCCATAAAACTTGTCACATGCTAGTCTTTGAAAAAGATAAATGAGCAATAACTAAAAATAATATTTCATGTAGCCATCTTTACTGNAGAGAGTCCCTACAGTGTTACTTTAGTCTGCCTCTATCACCATTTCAGTCAATATAGTATCCTCTCTTCTTTATTCTTTACCTCATGTCTTGTTCAGTCACATCCGTCCAGCCCCTCACTGATCTGACAAAAAAGTGTGTACATTATAAACACATAAGTTGTACATTCAACATCTATAAGGCCACGTAATTTCTGCTAAAATTACAAGCAAGTTTTCCTCTCTCATGCACATAACATTTTACACGTAAATGACTCTCACATTTGCAACTAAATTCACAATATTATGACCATAATCTACATGCACATGTACATATGCACTTGTGTTCTTGTACAAAAATGACTCTGCTTGGGTTTCGAATGTTCTATGACTATCATCTTTTATATTTGCATGGCCTACAGTACATTTATAAAAGACTATTAAAAACAATTGACCACTGTGAACTATCTGTAACAACAAGAAAAATACATCTGTATGTGAGGCATGGATTTTGGAAGCACGATTCTTGATCATCTTGATCAAAGCCCAAGAACCAGCAGCTGGAAAGATCCAATGTTTACATGTAGGTAATAAACACTTTTTGAAGGAATTAAAATGTAAAAGTTACATTCTTTAATATTTGCAAGTAAAGTACTGNTCACCAAAGAGCACAAGTCATTAAACGTCTCTCATCTGTGAAGATACCGATGTCAAGTTTCTCTCTTTAATTTGGATGAAAGGAATTGGCCGATATTCATATTAACTGTATGCTGAGAATAGGTTTAGTGTAGTTTATTAAAAAACAAAACGTTGCAAAAGGTTTAAGTTAATTAGTCGCAGTCAGCTTGTTTGTTTGTTGCCCTGTTTCACATCACGTGATGTAACTCTGGAGAGTTGTTTCTTTCAAATGTAAATCGCATTCCCGTGCGAATGAATGAATAAAGTTAAGAACATCCGTGATGTGAAACCAGCAATTAACATACGCAACTGAACGGGTATTTTTATTTCAAAAAAGGAAAGATCTAAGCTGAATTGCTCCTATTTAACTGTGGTAAGAAATTTGGAAGTTGGTATGCGCTTAAGTTATGGGCTTAAATTAAAAGCTAGTTCAGTTTAGATTAAATGTTCATGTGCGCGAAGATAAACAGAAAATAGAAATGATGTTTAAAAATTGTGTATATATAATTTGAAATTTGTTATTAACCAATTTTGCTGTGATTGTTTTCTCAATTTGGCCGAATTTTGGTTTGTCGTGAAAGTGAAATAATTACATATTCCTACTGAGAGAAATTGTAGCGTCCTTCAAAATCGTGACTTGCCCTGTCACGCAACGACTCTATCGACCTATAAACCGGTTAATAAAAGTGAGCCTGGCTAGCAAGTACTACCTGAAAAAATGTTTATGACTGTGAATTTGGGGTTTAACTTAATATAATTTTTTTGGTTTGAATTCAAGAAAAACAAAAAAAACAATTTTGGTGAAAAGGGTTGAATCCCTGTTTTATTGGTTTTGTTAGTTTGAAACTGAGTTGATGAAATTGTTGTTAGAAATACACAAGATGTTTCAGGATTACCCTTCATCAATAGACTGATTAACCGTTACATGAAACTCAGCAGTTTACCAGCCTACAATGAAGAATTATTCCTGAAGTACCCGAAATAATTCGTTTGATATCAATAGCTGATTGACAAAGAAAGAATGATTAATTTTTATTCAACACAACAGGAAACATTACGGACACTGGAACCAGATTTCAGCACTAGGATTTCTGGGATTGTTTACATAACTGGGGTAAGATGTGATTTCATAATGGTCACCAAGGCAACCATAAACCAATCAAAGCTTATGCCGGGCACTGTTGAAAACAATCCCAAATATCCAAGCACCAAAGGTTGGTGCCCAGTCACTTTAAAGTTTCTGGAGTGGCAAACTAATTAACGATTAGACCCTTTGCCCTTGAGGGCTACGGGTCTAATTATTTTAGTATCACCCAACTAGTCGGACAGAAAAGGCAATAATTAAGTTAGCAAATGCAAGTTGAAGAAATATTTATTTGGGAATAACACGAAAGAAAGCGTCACACTCGATTGCACCAATTTCGCTACTCAAGGACTAATAGTCCTCTAGTAGCGTAGCCAACTAAAATGCAGGATTTGCATTAGTCCACTACTTGGGTGATACTAATGAAGGTTATTTTTACAGAATTGGATTATTTAGTTATATATCTAAGATCAAAATGAAAATAGAAAATGAAAATTATTAAGATTTATAAAAGTGGAATTTGAGAAACTCACAAAAAAACTTTACAAGAAAATGCTCTCTCTTGTTAAAAAGATTTTTTATTTCTTTATAATTGGGCCTATACAAGTAGGATTTATATTATTACTTTAGTATTTTATTTTTAAATTTTAGATTTTAATGAAAAACTAAAAGAGAGAAAACCTGACCCAGCAGCAACCCAATCAGAGAGACCCCCAGTGACCATTAGCTCAATTTGATCTCATTAGTGAAAATCCAATCAAGTCAGACCAATGAAATTCAGCACTCTCCTCTGTCCATGCTTTCTCTAGAGATGCACCTTCCTTGAGCCCCACAATTAAGCACTCCTGTTTTACGTCCTTGATTGTGGAACATTTCCTGATACACTGACTGCAAAAAGCACCCTGCCGGGCTGAAAAATGCCGAATTGATGGTGTGGTACTGTGACAAATTCAGTGAGACCCTTAAGACATGAAAAGCAAACTCTCACCGTCCTTCATGCTGTCGACCCCACTTGAGAGCAAACGGGCAACAATTCCAAGTGTCCAACTGTCCCCAGCTTGAATTACAGGATCAGATAAAGTTTCCCAGGATTTCTCAGTTGGAATATTTCAGAAGACATCAGAAACACACACCTTTTCAGAGGCAGAGCTTCCACAACCCAGCAGGGACGTGACTGGCTAGATTTGAATATGACCACCTTGGTCTTGGTGTGTGTGCCACCTTCTGTCCTGGAATTAAATGATAACCTAAGAACTTTAGTAGATACATGCAAGCTCATTAGCATTATAAATAAACTAATAGAGAAAAAAATGGTTGCTTCTTGGTGATACAAGTACAGACGAAAACGAGATTGAAGTCTTAAGGTAGCTTGTGGGCATGCTGTATGCATGTTACTGGACAAAAACAAAAACATCCTACAAGGTTAATAAAACAGTCCCAAAAGACTATAATTTCTGAAGCAGTCAACTGATGAACAAGTTTTAAGGAAGAGTTAGTGAGCCTATAAAATATAATGCCTTGCAACACCAAGAAAGAACCAAGAAAATTACAATAAAGTGATGATCATGGAAAATGAAAATAGCCCTGGTCTTACACAATTACTAAGTGAAAAACTATACTAAATTTTGCTTAATTCTACATGTAAAAAGTAGTACTTTTTTTTCTACAGAACCCTTTGTCTTTGTAAGATTGCCACCCACAATTGCATTTGCATAAACTAATATTTTGCTAAGTCTTGACAGTAATACCTAATGCAACCAAGAAGGTACGAAAATAATGTGGAGTGGCAGTAAGACTAGTTATTAATTATAACACCTAGCCAATAGCTCCAAATTTTGTAGTGCTTGAAAATAAATACTAATTTTATGCTTTTACTCTTTCAATTTATGCTAATGAACTTGCAACTCTACTTAATGTACAAAGTAAACTAATATAAACAAAGGGAGCATTAATAGTGTTATAGAAAAAGGACAAACTGATAACATCGGAAAAACAAAGCTGTTAATTTTGTAGCAGCCTAGTAGTTAACAGATGTCATTTTACATCTCACTTCTAGTCTTATGACAACTGAACATTGAATTTAAAAGGACTTCTGTCAACCCAGGCCACATTTTGGAGTTGAAATACTTTTTTCATGTACCTGTATCCAAACTGTTAATAACGAACTGTGAATGAAAAATATATGAAATATATCTTAAATCTTTTAATTAAAAAATGCTCCCCTAGTTTATGAATTAAACAACCACCGTCAAGCTGCCAACCACCTTAATAGAAAAAATGGATGTAAAAGGGAATATTTTGAATTTCTGACTACCTACGGGCATGTATTACAAAAACAACCAGTGAATGACATTAACCAATGTAGTAGTTTTCACAAAATATATTAAAAACGGTGATAAGGTTGAGTGGCAGGGTGATGTTGATTGTTGTTAGAGTTCATAATTTAGTTACATATTCTAGTATAAAGAAACACTAAAATAATACGTAATAACTTACTACCAAGCTTCCTCTGAGCAGTGAAGTGACTGCTAACTAAGTTTTAAGAGTTCTACTATGTAACATTAATTTACCTTAACTTATAATGAAGCACATCCCATAACAAAAGCCAAATAGTGAAAAACTGGGTGTCCTGTGCACATGTCAACTGTGCTGAAGCTCTCTAATCTTGAAAGTAATTTGCCGTTAGCTACTCAGTCCTGCTTTTAAGGCTAAGAATGAAACCTTAGTATGTGCCTAAAATGAAATAAAAGTTGTTTAATTAGCAGTTACCAAACTGACCAAAGGAAAATACATGTAATTCGTAAATGAAAAATAATTCACTGCTCTACATATGTTTTTCTTGTGTTTCACCAATGATTAGAAGTTTTAATTGAAGAAATAAACATTCACTATTAAGATTTAAATGAGTTTGTTGTCAAATGTTGTTTAAAAGTAATCAGTAACTGGTTTCTCCTCAGAGTCAACCCCAAACATCACAAGAATTGACCAAATGATCAGATATCAAAAGGAAATATGTCTCAGTTTGGTTCTAGAAAGTAATGGTCAGTCAGTAGCTATAAGAAAGGAATGGAGACACAATATGCACAGTACTGTTCCAGCTTTTCCAAGCTTTGTTTACAACTAGGTAATTGTTGACAATATTTTTATATAAATTTTGGACAACTTTTGTGAAAGAGTAATGATAAACATTATGTACTTCACATATCTACGAAAAGAAACCCACTGCTGAAAGGAAGCATGTGCTGTCCACAACATTCAAACGTAATTCAAATGGGACAAACAAGTGCAAGAGTACCAGTAACATTTACTGCTCAATGGATTCAAGTCAGCCAAATGGAATGGGTGCAAAATAAATAAACTATAATTTCATGATTAACTGGTTCATTGATTGAAGTCAGAGGTCTTTGCTGCTGCATGTAAATCTCTAAAGGATATGCACTGTAGATGTACAATGTATGACTTCGGTGATAATAAGCTGCAAAATTTCTCAAGACAATTTTTTTCCAAAAGGCACTTGTTTGAACAATGGTGGCACACACGCCTACATGTAACAATAGTACTACCTTCCCTTAATGCTCATTTCTAAAGTGACAACACCATTGGTTGCATCGGTATGAGGTTTGTGCAGTTTTGGATCTGTGTAACATTTGGCAGATGTGGTACAATGTCTCAAGTTGCACTGTAGTCAGTTGTATAGCCTCAAGTATTAGAGGCAGTCTATTTTTAGTCTGTTGAGTATAGTTGGATGTTAAGTCTACCCTGAAGAACTGACTTCAGGTCTCAGGCGTCCATTTTGTTGTGGTAGTTGGTCATACTCACAATGGTGGTAGCACATTGAAAGCATGTCACTGTCTTTGTCATTTTTCATTGCTTTTCATTGATTTTGTCTTTTGTCAAGTACTGTTAGTTGGCGGGACAGTTATTGTTGATCTCAACCATTGGCAGTCAAACCTGCACTGGTTCTGTTTGAAGTCGACATCTTGGTTTGTTGATTTGTTCAGCTCAAGGTGCAAGGTGAGAAGATATTTTTAAAAAAGAGCTGCACAGAAGTTTGCAATACAATGTAAATAATCTCAGCACAAAGTTTTTTTCCTCTTGTTAGCTGATTCCTTCTTACAGTTTGTTGGTAAAGTTTGCTGGTTGTTTTGTTGAGGTCATTAAGCATGTCAGATGCTGTCAGTTTAAATCCATCTGTTGCTGGTCAAGTTTGTGTTGGTTCTGTTTGAATGAAGTTAAAGTTTGTTGGTTGTTTTGTTGAGGTCATTAAGCGTGTCAGATATACATGTAATCAGTTTCAATCCATCTGCTGCTGGTCAAGTTTGTGTTGGTTCTGTTTGAATGAAGTTAAAGTTTGCTGGTTGTTTTGTTGAGGTTATCCCTCTATACCAAGGCAAGCAGTATGCCAAACATTTATCACAAGAACCTAGACTACAAAGCTAGAATAAAGTAAACACTACCATTATCAGTTGAATAAGGTGCGACGGAACTCTCAACAAGTAACAAAGGTTTGGGCTTAAAATTATGCTGTTGCCATGGGAAACTTTCCTTGTTTTACATGGTAACAATATCATCGCCTGCAATTTCGCGCACTTTGCTGCCAATGACGTCAAAGACTGACAAGTTTCCACTGGAAATGGAGCAAATTGCCTGTAACAACAACACAAGTTGAATGTCACACCTTATTCAACTGATAATTGTAGTAGGCAGCTAACCTGAACAGGGGTTGTGGAACAACAGCTGGGTGAAAAACCTCCCTGTACGTCCACTTGCCCCTAGGAGGAAAACCCCGGGCCAGCTGTACCCCATGCTCAAAGGCCTCCCGGGCTAGGCCGAATAAAAACACACTTAAAATAGACAAACTATATGAATTTCCATAAAACTTGTCACATGCTAGTCTTTGAAAAAGATAAATGAGCAATAACTAAAAATAATATTTCATGTAGCCATCTTTACTGCGTATATGATCTGTGTACATACAAGGATATGTAGCATGAATATTGTGCAAAAGTTCATTTTGAAGATTTGAGATGAGATTCTTAACTTTCTAAAACAAAAAGCCCAGCCTACATGTATAAGTTCTGATGAGAAGTACATGTATATTATCCCTGGAGGTATAATTAAATACAAAGCTGGTAATGAGCATTTTGCAAAGGAAAATACAAAAAAACAAGGAATATGATGTGCACAAAGGACAAATTTAAGTATCTCCCAATTTGATCAATTCTTATACATGTATTTTTGGCATGCACGTTGTAACTTACAATAAAATTTTTGGTCACACTTTAATGACTTTTAGATCATTCAGAATTCAGAAGACAATTGAAGAAAAATCACAAATCTTACCAAAATGAAAACTTTGCAAACAGCTCATACCATAAAATTAAACTTATATTTCTATTCATACATTGAAATTTGGGGTTAAACTGAATACGCAACTTCAAATACTGCATTACTTATCATGATACCACAAACTGTGTTATCTTGTCTTGGTGGTTAATCTTTTAGCGTCCTCTTTCTTTCATATTTGGCCTGCTATCCTTTTTCTTGTCTCTCCAAGTTCATGCTGTCTTGTGATGCTCTTTGCCTGGTCTAACATCCTGTGATGAAACAAGCAAAATGATCATTTATTCTGGAATCAATCTTAGCTGTACACAGCAAGAAAGACAGATTTTTTCCAGTTGTTTGGGAATATTTTGTCATCTTCTTCAACATCCGAAATGGAATTACAAGTGATTACATAAAATAATATACTAGTAGTAATCAAAGATTAGAGCAGTGCGTTCAGGTGCATACTTTGCATGTTTGATCTACTTTGATGGCGTTTGAATGGCTTGATAGAAAACTAAGTTTGATCGAGTGACAGATAACGATCTGCACGTGAAGTTGAAGCCTGTGGTAAAAGCATTTTTAATTAATTAAGTATTAACTTGTACAGGACAAAATTTTTTCCAGGAAAGGTATTTGAACTGTTGGCAACACTTAGAATTCAATTTCAGATTGCCAACACTTGTAACAAATAAACTAATTTCATGAGAAAATAGAGTTTTGACAAGTGACCCTGCAAGACAGCGTGTCCCCCAAATGTTTTCAAATTTTGTGTTTGCATTTATTTACATTGCTCAAATTTACATCTTGTTTTCACAAATGAAAAAGGTGAATAGACCATTCTGACCACAACACAGCCTTTTGGCAAGTTACACAACAAGGAAAGTTTGTTTTGTGACAACCAATTGACCACAATGAATTTGCTGAGCTACATATCGGAAAATCTATTTTCTGACCACAGATCTTAAGGGTCATCAATTTGCCAAGCTACATGGAAGATTTGTTTTCTTACCACAACTCACGGCCATTTGCCTTCGCCAAGCTACAAAACATTCTTTCCTGATAATGCAGGCTTTAGTTACATGTTGTCGAAGGCTACAGGTCAAAATACATGCAGCTTTGCAGAAATCATACACACTTCTAATCCATATGGCGAATACGTGACTGCCTGCATGCGCTCATGATGTAATTTGCCCCTGCTGTTGGGNGGGGGGGGGGACACTACATGAACGAAAGTACATGTATTTAAGTGTTTTATTGACTACTACCTAATAAGCTTAAACCTTCAATTGAAAACTACCCTTCTATTCCCCTCCCAAATTTCTTCAAGATACCCTAGTGTAAACATTGTGTAGCAAGATTTCTTGAGTTGCAATTTAAACCAAAATATGTCCATGTTCTAGGATATAATCATAGATCTCATGCTTGATGTCTGCCATTTTGAAATTGTAAGCTAAAACGTACATGTAAATGAGGCAAAGACACAGGCTGAGAGAAGAGTGATGATGTGCACATTTATAGAACAGTGTGTCACACTGAACTTACCAGATCAATAATTGTTTTGTCTGCAATATTTATCACAGTGTATTTACCTGGTTGTTAAAGACTATCCACTGTCTGCCCAAACTTGTCCACTGCTCTATTTAGGCTTTCCACTACTTGTAGGTCGACTTGTCCACTGTCCATCCATATGCATTGTCCATCAATATTAGCTCATTGTCTGTCCAGACTTCTTGTCCATCCACTGTTGATTACGTACACTGTATTGAAACATTCAGAAACAGTTTAGCACCTAAGACCAATGCTCATTGTTATGAAAATCAGTCACAATGGAGTACTTAATTTATTCTTTCTAACAGTCAACCTGTCCTGATACAGTATGCCTTCCCAGAAATTATGTTCAGAAATGATGAACTTACACATGATCTTCAGTTAAATTAATGTACATGTACATATACTGAAACTAACAGACTTTCCAATAAGAAAGTGAAGCTATTGTAAATGACTCAATTGGTTCTGTTGGCATCTGAACAACAAGGCCCTGTCCTATCACAGACTATGGTACTTTTTGAGTCTGTTTCTAAAGTCATTCTTTGAATGTAATTGCTGTCTGTCTGTTTTAGGTTTTGAATTTGTCAGTTTGTTTCTCTGAACAAAGAACCCTGAGCCATGTCTGACCCACCATCCACCCCCACCTTTATTACCTGCTAATGTCCAACAGAAAAGCAGATAAATTGGAATATACTTGCAAGCATATGGTATTTACCTGGTCAGCAAAGGTAACAAGTTTGCCTTTCTCCAGTTGCAACCGTTGACATATAGACAGTCTGTATGGTGTCCTCTCTTCCTATTTCTTTACCTCATGTCTTGTTCATTCACATCCATTCAGCTCCTCCTTGGTCTGAAAAACAAGAGTACAATTTGTACTTTATCCATTTATACATCCGAGGCAAGAAATTACTGTTAAAATTAACCTTCCCTCTGCCATGGACACAAGATTTCACACCAAATTTTCTGCCAAATTAAACAACTTAGAATTATTATTACTAACCCTAACCCTAATGATGATCTTTACTATTATGAACAATAGACTGAAATTATGCCATAAGAAACCTTTAA